CAATGCTTTCACTTGTTTTTTTCCGATTTATTTTTATTTTTATATTTTTATTCTAAATCAATGAGAGAACCTTGGTGGCCTAAGTTTAATAACTTTAAAAGTAGAGGCAGGTTGCTAGGCAAGATAGAAGTAATGCCAGTCTGACGTGTATGCAGTATTTTCATTCTGATGGAGACAGGTCTCTTGACTTTAAATAGCCTCACATCAAGTTTTAGAAATTACTTAGCCCTCTAAAGACTGTTAGTAAACATTTGGTGTCTAAAATTGTACTTTTGAAAAGTAATGAAGTGAGATAAAACTCCTTTATTTTGATGAGAAAATGTTCTCATCTTCTGTTATCTTTTCAAGATTTATGGTGTACGATGGAATCAGAGTTTTCTGCTTCCTCCCTCCTTCACTTTCTCTAATTAAATTCCTTAACTTTTCAGCCACTAAAAAAATATGTGATGTTACAACCATATTGCTGACATCAGTGCATAATTTTCCGTCCCATGTGTAACTAGCTGAGCGTAGTACAGTGATATTAAAAACTGTAGTTCAGAATACTTAGTAGCATGAGTATGAGTAATTCTGAAGATAGTTCTTAAGATTATGTAAAACCTCCCAGATGTGTGATACAAAATTACAGCAAAAGATAGGAAATTCCTGGAGCAGATATTCCATTTCCTCCCACAACCAAATTCTCAGTTTGTGGTCTCTCAGTGATTGCCATAGGAATTATAGTGTGACAGTGTTTTTGCTACCTTGACATCCCATATGAGTTTGGAAGAATGGAAATCAGAAAGCGACTACATCTTATTCAGGACTGAGGCCCAAGGAAGTGACGTAAGTTTAACAAGGTAGGAAAAACATGCGGAGCATGTCTTTTGGAATCTTCTCAATAGTCATAGAAGGCATCTGTATTTTATTCTGCAGAATGAATTAACATGTTGCATCTGGGTGTGCGTCTGTTTCTCTAGTCCCCTCAGTTTGCATTTATGCATGTTTGTATGGGTGTTCTGGAAAGCATATGGGCTCTATACGCTCTGTTCTGGGTTGTTGACCAGGAGGGTAGGGTGGGAGTTTAGAATGAATGAAATAGTCAGGAGCATTTCAAATCACTGGCCAACTGCTTCTTCCATAAAGATCCACTGGGGGGTTGTTGGGGGGGGGCGCAATGTTTTTCTCTGCAACCCTTGGCTGGACGCAGACAGTTTTCAAAGTCATTATTTTCTTTAGTTGTCTTCAGCCTCACCAAATGTTTTTGAATGATTTGTGTTATTGTTAAACATAGTTTACCAAAGCTGATAATTTTAGATAAAGATTAATTTCAAGGGAGTTTGGTTTGTAACTGATCTGTTATAAGGTTTTGTTTATCTGATTCTATATGGTTTGTTTTATGGCATAATCAGTTCATCAGACTGCTGTTTTCATTAGTGCAGGAAATAACTGTAGTAGTTTCTGGTGAGGTACTGCTAATTAACAGAATGTATTTCATATATGTCATACATCCAGACTGATTAGTGCACCTGTTCCCTTTGCAGAAGTTGATGAGCTGCTGTCTTCTCTTAAGCATGTCCAACACACACTGATAGATCCACAAAGTCAAGAGGAAATTGCTCTGATTTTACAGCTTGTGCAAAATACTGACTTTCAAAATGCATTTAAGATACACAATGCTGTTACTGTGCATATGAACAAAGCAAGTCCCCCATATCCTCTTATCTCCAATGCACAAGAGCTTGCACAAGAGGTATGTATGGTATAAATTCTCATTTAATAATTAAATTTCCAGTAATTATTGTGTTCCAAAGTACCAGTCCTAGGTGTGACATTAAAAGCTCTCCATAATTAAATTAATATTTGCTTTTCCTTCTCTAGAAGAAAAGGTTCTTAGAACTTAGAAGTTAATATTTATGAGAATTTAGATTTGCAAATATAGTGTTTGGTATTTTTAAAATCTATATTTAAGAAATTTGAAGATTCATTCTCTAACCTTTATTTTTTTACCTGTAATACAGTAGTTTAGATCACATTTCTGCATGTCCAAAGGGGCATTGCATGTCTTTCTTAAATAGCACTCTGTCATTATAGAAATACAGTGGTAC